CCTCCTTCTCCTCCTTCTTCTCCTCCTTCTCCTCCTCCTCCTCCTTCTTCTTCTCCTCCTTCTCCTCCTCCTCCTCCTTCTCTTTCTTCTCCTTCTCCTTCTCCTACCAGCCTGGCTCAGGTATTGTCCACCAGACCACGGCCACACAACCCAGAAAATCTACAAATGCTAATGAACTTCGGCTGTGAAAGCCTTCGACAAAATATTAAAGCCAGTATTGGGGATGGGGACTCCTTACTCTGAATCCCCAGGCAGTCTCTTCCAGTTAGATCCAGGTGGGGTAGCCGTGTTGGTCTGAAGGAGCAGAACAAAGTTTGCTCCAGCGGCACCTTTAAAACGAACAAAGATTTATTCTGGGTATGAGCGTTTGTGTGCATGCCCACTTCTTCAGGTACAGTGAAACAGAAGTCACCAACCTTTACCTATAGCTAGCCAGTAAGGAGGGTGTAGCCGGGAACATCCAATTAGAGTCAAGATACATGAGCAATAAATATAACTAAGACTGGGTGAAGGCAGTTGGTAAGACCTGTGAATAGCAGCAGATTAGTATACAGTATAATAAAGGCGTTTACAAACAGATGCGAGTGTCGTGAGATAAGAAACCAATGTCTCTGTTAAGCCCTGGGGGCTCCATTCTCCTCCTGGTGTGTCCTTTTCAGGTATTCACACCCTGCAAGCATTCTCTGGCTGCGAACTGAGCGAGGACAATCGTACCACCAGAGAGTTTGTGAAGTACGGCTACAATGGAAGGGACTTCCTCAGCTTGGACATGGCGACTCTCACCTGGACGGCGATGGATTCGGAGGCCAAGCCCATCAAGAGGAAGTGGGATGCCGAGCCGGAGCGAGGGAAATTCTGGGGGCATTTCCTGCAGGAGGTCTGCGTGGAGGGGCTGCACACCCATCTGCGCTATGGGGTGGAGAGTTTGCTGAGGATCGGTGAGAAGGAGAAACGGGGTGACAGGGGAAGGCAGGGAGAGAATTATTTTGTACCCCCAATGCTCTCTCTAAGCTGTGGAGTCTTGTGAGCAAAAATTCTACTTTGTGAGCGACTGGTGTAAAGGTTGTGAGCGAGCGATTTGGCTACTGCCTGCATTAGCTTGCTCTGGAGCCCTCCTTCCTGAGCTAAGACAAAAATGTGTGAGCCGGAGGTTAAAAAACTGTGAGCTAGCTCACACTAATTCATCTTAGAGGGAATACAAATACAAAAAGCCTCTATTGTCATACATCAAATTATCCGTACAGACAGTAAGCAAATATAGAGGTAACGATAATTTAAATATAAGCAGTTAAACAATTTTCAATCGGTCCTTGATTACCAAACTTCAAAATAGGGCTACTTTTTCAGTTATTGCAGGCGACGAGTCATTAAGAAGACGGTACACCATCAGGGTGTCCGAGTGGCCCGACAAATTGAGTGAATTTGAGTCTAAAAGATTAGACCGTATATCCAGCATACTGGGCCCAATAAAGAAGGATATGGGAAACCGAGTCAACGGCTTTTAAATCGCAAGCGCAGAGTCTTTGCAGAGTATGTGATCTTATGATATCTGCCATAAGGGACTGCAGATGGAATAGCATTGCACCTAGAGAGCGCAAATGCTCTGCGCATTTATGGAGCACAGAGGGCAGATAAATAGGGTGCCAGTCAGCCAGTAATGAGAGGGATTTCAAAATTCAGAGGGGAGCAGGTTAGAGGGAACACTGACCCCCCCCCCAAAAAAAAACCTTGAAAATCTGACATAAGAATGCCGTGGAAAGACGTGGAGGAATACAGGGCGGCTCACTCACTAGGCAAACTAGGCGGTCGCCTAGAGCAGGAAGGCCCTTAGGGGTGCCAAACTGAACCCGGCCCCATACTCTGGGAGTTTCTTGATTATTTGTGTTTTCATTCTTCCTAAAATGCATTTATTTTTGAAAATTGGTGGGCGCACCGGGGGGGGGGGGCAGAAGGGATCCTCGCCTAGGGTGCAAAATAAGCTGGAGCCGGCCCTGACCGCTTCAGATGTCTAGCAGAAGGTTGTATTTTTTACTGCTGTCAATTGAAACGTAATAGAGTTTGCCTATAGATCACCTTTCAGCTAAATGAAAAGGCCTCCCGTGCTTTTCAGAAGCTGCACCACATCTGTCTCAGTTCTCCTCTCTGGGATAAATCCCTCCCTGGTGTCAGGTCCCCAGTTAATACACACTCCACAGCACCATTTCTGGTGATGCTTTCTTAGAGATATGCTTACATCAGGAACTTGAATTTTGTCAGGACTAAAGAAAGTGGGTGAAATCCCCAAGTTATAGGTAAGACCAGGGCTATTTTGGGGCAGCAATGCACAGGAACGGCGTTCCGGCTGGCTTCAGAATCGGCCACGCCCACTGCAGCCAAAACCTCTATGCATGCATGGCTACAGAGGGAAGGCCTGGAGAGCGACACCTCCCGGCGACCCCAAGGCGGGCGAACCGGGGGGGGGGCCTGGAAGGATTGGGGGGGCATTTAAATGCCCCCCCGGGCCTTCCCCGGCCTGTCCAAGGGCCGGCTTGCCCAGGCAAGCCAAGGGAAGGCATGGGGGTGTGGCCTAATATGAAGAAGAAGAAGAGATTGGATTTATTCTCCACCCTTCACTACCCAAAGGAGTCTCAGAGCGGCTCACAATCTCCTTTCCCTTCCCCTCCCCACAACAGACACCCTGTGAGGTGGGTGGGGCTGAGAGAGCTCTGACACAAACTGCTCTTTCAGGAACAGCTGTGCCAGAGCTTGTGACTGACCCAAGGTCACATCAGCAGGTGCAAGTGGAGGAGTGGGGAATCAAACCCGGTTCTCCCAGATTAGAGTCCGCGCACTTAACCACGACACCAAACTGGCTCTCCATATGCTAATGAGTTTCTGCTGTTGGGTGTGGCCTATTATGCTAATGAGTTCCTGCTGGTCTCTTTCTACAAAAAAAGCCCTGGGTAAGACCAAGCTGCGGTGGCTCAAGTGGTTAAGACGCTGAACTGCAGGCTGTGGAAGGTCGGTAGTTCAGCAGTTCAAGACCCGGGTGCCGCAAGACGGGGTGAGCTCCTGTCTCTAGTTCCAGCTCCTGCCAACCTAGCAGTTTGAAAGCAAGAAATTGCAAGTAGATAAATAGGTACCACTTCGGTGGAAAGGTAACAGCGTTCCGTGCGCCTTGGTGTTTAGTCATGCCGGCCACATGACCACGGAAATGTCTTCGGACAGCGCCGGCTCTTCGGCTTTGAAACGGAGATGAGCACCGCAACCCTAGAGTCGGATTTGACTGGCTTTCGAGCAAGGGAACCTTTACCTTTACCTTTTTAAGACCATCATCAATCAGCCCCTAGCGTCCCTATGGCCCCCCTGAGATATATGGTGCCTTCTCTAAGCTAGGGAGGCAGAGACAGCTCCCAAGGCCAAATCCCATGAGAAAAGGCCGAGGGGTACAACTTAGGAAATGGTTATGGCTGCTACTGGCATTCACTCTTAAAGACACAGACACTCCAATCAGGAATCCCCTCCCGCCTAATACATGGCAAGGAAAGCAGTGAAGCAAAACTGAAGTGGAGCCAAACTGAAACCCTGACACCCGGCCACACACCTTTATTTTATCCTGAACCTTAACCAGCAGCTCTGAGCAAGGATTTGGGGGGGGGGTAGTGAGGGGTGATTGTCCCATGTCGAGACGAGTATAGATGACTGGGTCCCAACCAATGTTCCCTCTAAGCTGTGGAGTCTTGTGAGCAAAAATTCTACTTTGTGAGCTACTGGCGTTAAAGTTATGAGCAAACAATTGGGCTGCTGCATAAATGAGTTTGCTCTGGAGCCATCCCTTCCTGAGTTGAGACAAAAATGGGTGAGCCGGAGGCTAAAAAACTGAGCTAGCTCACACTCAGCTTAGAGGGAACACTGGTCCCAACCTTCTTGGCCTGGTGACCGACAAGCCCAAATAGACTCGGTGTGATGACCCACTTAAAAAAACAACAACAGACAGCACGCACAAATCAATAAAACTCCAGCGTCTTGGGCTCGCTTTCCCAGGCTCTGTGACCCACTTGTTGGGAAAAGATGAACCCCCGTTTTCTGCTGCTTTTGGCCAGTATCAGTGTTCCCTCTAAGCTGAGTGAGTGTGAGCTAGCTTACCATTTTTTATCCTCCGGCGCATGCGTTTTTTGTCTTCGCTCACTTAGCTTTGCTCACAGCTTTAATGCCAGTGGCTCACAAAGTAGAATCCTAGCTCACGGGACTCCATCCCTTAGAAGGGAGGATCGGTCAGTATCTCTTCTGCCTTCAGGGAAACCTGATACGAGTTATTTTTGCAGACCCACCGATGGTTCGCGTGACCCGCAAGGCGGGATCCGACGGCCTGGAGACCCTCTTCTGCCAGCTCTACGGCTTCTACCCCAAGGAGATCGAGGTCACCTGGATGAAGGACGGGGAGGACCAGAAGCCGGAGACCCTTACGGGCGGTGTCGTCCCCAACTCGGACGGGACCTACCACACCTGGCTGAGCATCGAGATCGACCCCAAGGAGAGGGACCGGTACTGGTGCCAGGTGGAACACGACAGCCTGCTGGAGCCCCTGGACTTGGCCTGGGAGGAGCCAGGTGAGAGACTGAAGGGAGAGGAAAGGGATGGCTCCTTGAAGGGGAAATTATGGCAGTAGGAGGGACAGTGTGATAGATGCCCCCCCCCCGTGTTGGCTCTGGGGTTGAATCCCCGCTTGGGCCATGGAGATCTTTGACTGACTTCAGGGCAGCCCTTCTCTCCCAGCCTAACCCGCCTCACCGGGTTGTTTTGCGGATCAAAAGAGACAATCCCGCCCGTGCACGTCACACCACCCTGAGCTTCTTGAAGGAAGGATGGGGAGATAAATCTTTGGGTGAGGAGGAATCCTTAACTGAGTTTCTTTGGGAGAGAATTCAATAATATCGGTGCCACCCTGGAGAAGGCCCTGCTTGGCGTGCTGCCGGCTCATTGACTTGGACCAGTCCTTGCCTTGCACCTCCCTGTGGGAAGACTCCGCCCCCCCCTTTTGAAATCCCTTTGGCTCAGCTGCAGCACACAGCGGGCAATGATGTTTTGGCCACCGTGTGACACAGAGTGTTGGACCGGATGGGCCATTGGCCTGATCCAACACTGGCTTCTCCTAGGTTCTTATGATCTTACTCCCTCCCCTTGGTAAGGGGAGTTCCCCAATACCTCCCTCAAACGGCTCTTTACCACAACATGGAAAAGATTGCTGGGGGATTCGTTCTTCTCTCCCACTTCTGCCTTCTCCATCCTTCAGTAAGGGTCAGCTCCAGGACTGAACCTCCCTTTCCCATCCACGTAAAGGTTTAGAAGGAGCTGCGGTGGCTCAAGAGGTTAAGACGCTGAACCTGCAGGCTGTGGAAGGTCGGTAGTTCAGCAGTTCGAGACCCGAGTGTGCCGCATGACGGAGTGAGCTCCCGTCTCTAGTTCCAGCTCCTGCCAACCTAGCAGTTCGAAAGCAAGAAATTGCAAGTAGATAAATAGGTACCACTTCGGTGGGAAGGGAACAGCGTTCCGTGCGCCTTGGTGTTTAGTCATGCCGGCCACATGACCACGGAAACGTCTTCGGACAGCGCTGGCTCTTCGGCTTTGAAACGGAGATGAGCACCGCAACCCTAGAGGCGGATTCGACTGGCTTTCGAGCAAGGGAACCTTTACCTTTACCTTTAAAGGTTTAGTGACTTCAGACCACATTTTGTTTTCACGATCTGTCCCCCAGCAGAGCTGCATTTTGCATGCAGGTTTCTGTTGGGGGCTTCTGCCGTGGGGCCAGTCTGAGTTCGTGCATTCTACCCCCCCCCATTCCAGCCTCTGTGTCCAACGTGGGGCTCGTTGTGGGAAGCACCCTGGAGGTCGTGGCCGCTGTCGTCCTGGCAGGGGCCGGGCTCGTCTTCCACATCGGTAAGTAAACCAGGGATGTGTCGGGTGGGGGATTGTTATTGAGCGAAGTGGCATCTTGGAGCTGTGGACTAGAAAATGACCATTTCCTACCTGCGGATACTTCTGAGAGCCACTTTGGTGTCGTGGTGAAGTGCGCGGACTCTAATCTGGGAGAACCGGGTTTGATTCCCCACTCCTCCACTTGCAGCTGCTGGATGACCTTGGGCAAGCTGTAGTTCTGATAAGAGCTGTTCTTGAAAAAGGGCAGTTTCTGTCAAGAGCTCTCTCAGCCCCCACCTACTTCACAGGCAATGCTCCCTGTAAGGTATGGAGTCTTGTGAGCAAAAATTCTACTTTGTGAGCAATGGGTATTAAAGTTGTGAGCGAGCCGTTTGGCCGCTGCATCAATTAGTTTGCTCTGGAGTCATCCTCCTTCCTGAGCTGAGACAAAAATGCGTAAGCTGGAGGCTGAAAAACTGTGAGGGTAGCTCACACTAACTCAGCTTAGAGGGAACACGGCTCACAAGGGTGTCTGTTGTGGGGAGGGGGAAGGGTAAGGAGTTTGCAAGCTGCTCTGAGACTCCGAGTGAAGGGCGGGGGTATAGATCCAATCTCTTCTTTGTCGTCGTTGTCGTCTTCTTTGCCCAAAGAAGGGACCTGGGAAGTCATTTTGTAGAGGGTGCCCTGAAGAGACTGCAGTGTGGAGGCGGTGGGCTCCAGAGCCCTGCTCTAGACTGGGGGCAGTGCTGAATGATCTCTGGAGTGATTATGTCTCTGCAGGAAAACCACAAAAAGGCAGCTACCAAGGAGCACCGAGTGAGTGATTTCTCTCCTTCCCCACCATTGAAATCTTGGCCTGACACGAAGGGGGGGGGGCAATCAGGTCATGTGAATCAGGTCATGTGAATCAGGTCATGTGACCGCAAGCCCTGGAGAGCCGCTGCCAGGCAGAGGGCACCAGAAAGCCTAGAGAAAACTTCACCCTAAGGCTCCTGCGTCTTTTCTGGTGCCCTTTGGGAAGACTTCAGTGACCAGAGCAAGAAGTTCTTCTCCACCCACTATGTTCCGACCCCGTACCCCGCTTCCGCCAGATGTAATAAGTGTGGGCCACACCTGGGAAAAGGGGAGACTTGGAGCCCTTGGGGATGGGAAGAACAACTCCTGCCCCTTGCGGGAATCGCAAACGCAGAGGCTGAGGGCGACGGATGCGGAGGGGGAGCGGAAACCGCAGGTTGCGGACGTGGATTTACTTGGCAGCGGTGCTCCCTCTAAGCTGTGGAGTCCTGTGAGCAAAGATTCTTCTTTGTGAGCTCCTGGTATTAAAGTTGTGAGCGAGCGATTTGGCGACTGCATGAATCAGTTTGCTCTGGAGCCGTCCCTCCCTGAGCGAAGACAAAAATCTGTGGGCTGGAGGCTCAAAAACGGTGAGCTGGCTCGCACTAACTCAGCTTAGAGGTAACACTGCTTGGCAGCCCATGATCAATATCCTCCCCCACGTCCCATTTGATCAGCTTCTCACTGGAATTCATGGAGGGGCTGGGAGATCTGGCACTCGTGGGGCAAACGCAGCTTGGCTCACTTCCTTGAGACATCACCAGTGTTCCCTCTAAGCTGAGTTAGGGGGTGCTAGCTCACAGTTTTTTAGCCTCTGGTTCACACATTTTTCTCTTAGCTCAGGAAGGACGGCTCCAGAGCAAACTAATTTATGCAGTAGCCAAATCGTTTCTCACAACTTTAATGCCAGTAACTCACAAAGCAGAACTTTTGCTCACAAGACTCCACAGCTTAGAGGGAACATTGGACATCACCCAGAAACACTGGGTCTCAGGCAGGCCACTCTTTCTGGGCATCCTCTCACTCCCAATACCCAGCTTTTCTCTGGGCTAGTGGCCTTGGATTGTAGGGGGCTGGCAGAGGGGCAGGTGAATCCCGCCTTGGAGCAGAAGGTTGGTCTAGAGATGGCCTTATTTATGTATTTATTTGCTTTTTATCCCCTCCCCCTTCCTGCCGAGGCAGTCTCAGGGCAGCTTACATAAAAAAAAACAGTAGATAAAGCAATATAAATATCAATATAAAATACATGATAGAGCAGGGGTCATTTCGTAGAAAAAGAGCTGCAGGAGCTCATTAGCATGATTCATTAGCATAACTCATTTGCATATGCCACACCCCCTGACATCACCGGAAGTGTGTCATAAGGCCACACACCCTGCCCCCAACGGGGCAAGGCCAGCGGGAGTGCGAGGAAGCCCCGCGAAGGCCCTCCCTGGCCCCAGGCAGGCAGGGGTGGGGAGAGGCAGGGAGGAAGCAACTTACCCTCCCTCTTCTCCTGCCTCCTCCTGGCTGAATGAGGGCCAGAAGCAGGGCGCCCGGAAGCAGGGGGCGGGGCTTCGTCATGTGCCCCGCCCCCCGTACCTCACCCGGGGGAACTGCGATCCCCC